TCCTTGCCGACCGTCGTTGGGCTGGGGGGGGGGGGCAGGCGAGTCAGTCATCGGGGTGCAGGTGAGAGAGGGAATGAGAGAAAAGGGGCGCACCTTGCGGTTCCACCGGATGAGGCCCTGCCCCGCCGCACCCTCGCGCGCGCCGACCTCGTTGCCGACCTTCCTCGGGCCGCCCTTGCCGCCGACGAGGTGGCCGTAGGCCCTGTCCTTCCTCGACACCTTGCCCTCGTCCTCGCGGCCGACGAGGGCCAAGTCGAGGCGGGACGGGGCGACGCCCCACGCGTGCTGGGCGACGCTCGCGAGCGACTTTGGGCCGACGTACAGGGTGACGGCGGCTTTCGTGGCGCGGGTCGGCAAGTTTGGGAACGACTGGAGGACGAGCTCGGTGGCGAGGGTGCCGAGGAGCGAGTTGCCGAGGGCGGCGAGGGCGCCGTTGTGGGCGTGGTGGGGCGAGTGGGCCGAGGGTGCGTCGGCGAGGGGCGCGTCGTGAAAGGCCGTGAAGCGGCGGCCGGTCGAGTTGTTGGCGGCGGTGGCCGAGAGGGCGAGCTGGTCCTCGAGGGTGCGGATGCCCTCCCAGAACGACTCGTGGATGAGGGCCTGCTCGACGAGGGCGAGGTTGTCGGCGAGGGAGGGGACGGGTGAGGAGGAGGAGGAGGAGGAAGGGGGGGACGGGGTGGCGATGCGGGCGGCAAAGGCGGCGAGGGCCGAGACGGGCGGGGGGGACGTGTAGGCGTACAGGAGCGACAGCTGCTGCTGGGTCAAGGGCGGGGGCACGAACGCGTCGGCGTCGGTGGGCGTGGTGGGCTGTTCGAGGTCGATGGGCGACTCGGTGTCGGCGCCGTCTGGGTCGCGCAGGGTGGACGAGGTCGGGCGTGCGCGCACGACCTCGAGGGGGATGGGCGGGCGAGACGAGGCGGGTGCGGGTCGGGGTGCGGCGGTCGAAAAGGGGCGGGCTGTTGGGGCGTGCGTGTCAGTGAGGGTGGTCGTGCGCGTGCAGATCGAGGCTGTGCTTGGGTGCGAGTCGGGTGCACGCGACCGTGGTCGACCCGGACGACGAGCTCGAGGGGGAAGAGTGTCGGTGTCGGGCACTCGCGCGCTCGCAAGGGCCACCGGTCGCACTCGAGCACCCGTGCCAGTCCCTCGCCCACCCACCGCACAGCTGCCCTGCCGAGAGAGAGGCTGCGAGGCGAGGTCGAGCTCCTCATCGCCCCGCCGCGCCGACCGTGCCGCCTCGCGCCCACCGCATCTCGTGACCGTGCGCCGAGCTCGCCCGGGTCCACGACAAGGCAGACGAGAGGGTGGACTGACCGGTTGGTGCGCTCGACGAGGGCGTGGGCCGGTTGCGGCGGGCACAATTTCTGCCCGTCTGGCTGGCCGCACTCTTGGCCGACTGAGGGTGCGTGGCCGGGTTGGACGAGCGCAGTGCGCCCTGGAGCGAGCTCGACAGCCTCGACATGGTGGCTCGATGGCTGGACGGCGCGAGCGAGGACGAGTCGGGGGGGACGGCCGCGATTCCTCGACCTCGCTCTTGTCCCTCGACCACACCTCGTCCGCCGCCTCGCACTGCTCTAGGCATGCTTCTGCTTCTACCAGGCTCCCTCTCTCGACTCGTCTCGCGGCCCACACGCTGTCCGACGCCCCGACCGTCATCTTTGCGATCAACGGCGTTCTCGACCGGGCGGCGGCCCGGTGAGCGGCGGCGAGGGACGACGGTGGCGAGAGAGGGAGCGCTCGAGCGTGTGGGACGAGCAGGAGCGAGCGAGCAGAGGACAGCAGCGGCGGCGGCGAGTCTGTAGCGCGCTGCACTCGAGTCGAGGTTCACAACGAGCGTCGCCGCGAGAGGTCTCCCTGCTCGCTCGTTTATCTCGCGAGCTTCTCTCTCTGCGTCCTCGAGAGAAAGAGAGAAAAGCACAAAGCTCTGCACGTTGCAGCTCGAGGACCGAGCGCTACACCTCGCGCGCCCACGCCCTCGTCCCGTCGCGCTCGTCCCGGCGCTTGACCCACCTCGCAATGGCGTACACGACCTCGTTGTGCCGGGGAGCGATCCATGCGCTCTTCGTTGTCGTCCATGCCTCGAGGGGCGAGCCGAGACGGTCCTCGAGGAAGGCCTGCTCGGCCGCCGAGTCGGGCCGCAGGTCGACGTCGACGACGACGAGGGTGCGGGGCAGGTTGGCGAAGAGGGACGCGGGGAGCCGCTCCTTGCCGCCGGAACGGCGCTCGAGCGAGTCGGTCGCGCGGAGCTTGAAGACCTCGAGCGACGTCATGCCGGCGAGGACGGGGCCGACAGCGTCGGCGACCCTCGACAGGTCGGTCGGCAGGCAGCCGAGCCCGAGGCGACGGAGCGAGGTCGTCCGCTGAAGGACGACGACGTACGAGTCGAGGTCGGCCTTGCAGACCTGCTCCAAGTCGAGCGACGCGAGGCGGTCGAGGAGGAACAGGTTGGGCAGCTCGCGCAGGAACGTCTTGTGCAGCTGACCCTGGGGCGCCTGGACGATCGACACGGCGAGGTCTTGCACCTTGGACCACGGCGCCGAGCCGGCGAGATCGGGCAGCGCCGGACCCGGATCCGAGGCCGCGGTGAGCCGGATGGCGAACTTGGTCACCTCGGGAAGCAGGCTCGCGCCCTTGAGGACGCTCACGAGATCTGGCGCACGCTTCTCGGAAACGTGCGACTCGCCGATGCTGAACTCGGCGACCGAGGCGACGGGAGCAGGGCGGCGCGTGCGGGCGAACCAGACGGACCACGCGAGAGGGTTGTCGAGGCACAGCCGGCGCAGCTGGTCGCACTCGCGACGGCAGCGCACGATGTTCTTGTCCATCTTGGCGCTGCTGGAGTTGCCGGGGACGACGAGCTCGCGAACGAACGAGAACAGGTGCGAGCGCTGCCGGTCGCGAAGGAAACCGTCCTGCTGGCCGACGTAGAGCTTGAAGGTGCCGAACAGGGCGGCTTGACCGACAGGGCGCCACGCGCGACACACGAGTGACAGGTTCTTGGCGAGTTTTGACCGCGCACTGCGTTCATCTTCGACAGGGTGGTTGCCGACGGCGAGTGCAGCCGACGCGATGAGGTGGACCAGCTCGAGCGGGATGTATCCGACCATGAGGGTATGTCCAGATGATCGTAGATGCTCGTAGATGAAGATGATGGCGTCGCGCTGCGGCTACATGGGCGTGGTGAGCTCGACACGGGGCAGAGAGATGAGGATGAGGGGGGCGCGCACCAGAGGATGAGGCAGGCTCGGGAGCTTGCTGCGCCGAACTAGACGGGTTTGACAGATGTCTGAGAGCGCGCTGTGCTGCTTCAACGCCAAGCTAGAGCTGGTGCGAGAGCAGCGAGGCGACGAGCAGCCGAGAGCCTCATCGAGGAGGTCGACTCCGCCCACCGCGCTCGACTCGCTCAGACGAAGCACAGCTAGCTCGTAGTGCTCTCGGCACCTCTCGAGCACAGAAGCAAGCTCGCCCACCTCGTCCCTCGAGCCACCGCCGCCTCGGTCGCCGTCCCCATCGCCTTCCCCGGCCTCGTCCTCATCTCGCACCGCCCACACCACGCCTGAACAGTAACCATGAGCGGCCCTGAAACCGGTGGGTGCTACTCGTGCGTCCTCGCTCCTCTCCCATACTCGCTTCCTCGCTCGACCTCGCTCGCTCGCCTCGAATCGTCGGCCTCGACCCGACCGGCTTCCAGCCAGCACACCGACCCTCTCTGCTCTCTCTGCCTCATCAGGACCCGCCCCCGATCGCTCGACCGCCGCGGTCACCGCGAGTCAACCCCCTGCTCCCGCTCGCTCTCGAGCTGCACCTCGCCTGCTCACCGGCCTGCCGCACCCACCTTATGCAGCCTCGCACCAGGCTCGACAAGGCTACGCGTTCGTCGCCGAGCCAGGCGGGCTCTCGATCGCCGCCGAGTCGCTCTCGCTGCGCCGTCGAGCCTCGGGCGCGCTCACTCGGGCCCTTCTCTCACCCTCTCGCGCTCTCGCGGACCGCCGAACTCGAGTACTAGATACAGAACTCTCTTTGTCACTGCTCGGCCCGCGCCCTCGCGTCTACAACCCGCTCAGCCCTCCCTTTCCGACGCCGCTCACGGGCGCGTCGGGCACCGCTCCTGGCACGACGGGCCCGGCGGCATAGTGCGACAAGACGCCCGCAGCGGTCCCGAGCGAGAAGCCGGCCGTCGCGAGCTGGACGAGGGGCGCGCGCCGCAGGAGGACGGCCGGGAGGGCGAGCTGTGCGTCGGGCAAGGGGAGGGGGGAAAAGGGGGGCAGGTCAGCCACGGGGTCGCTGTGGGGTTGCGGTACGCGCTATCGCCGCGCTAACTCGACCCGGCGGCACTCGTGCGAGCGCGACGGGCCGGGTAGGCGGGCGAGAGCGGCGCACGCATCGACGATGAAAGAGAGAGAGAGAGGGAGGGGACGCACCGCCCCGATGGCGCCGCCGACGACGCCATAGTCCTCGCGGCGCTTCAAGCCCCAGCTGGCCCTGCGCTCAGTGGCCCACTTGACGACGTCTGCGTCCGACTTGGTCTGGGTCTGGTACAAGCCGTAGCCGGCGCCGGTGACGGGCCCGGCGACGAGCGACAGGACCGAGTACTCGCGCGTGAGGCGCGAGAGGGAGAAGGGGCGGCGGAAGCGGAGGAGGACGAGGGGGAGGCCGAAGACGGCGAGGGCTTGCTGGCCTGTGGCGTGAGGGGACTCGGAGGTGAGCCGGTGCGGGGGAGGAGGAGGAAGATGAGGGAGGGGACGGACCCTGGACGGCGTACGAGGCGACGAGGTCCTGCTTCTGGTCTGCGAGCGTGTGCTGGACTGCTGGTGCCATTGTGCGAGTGTGGGTGGAGCGAGCGAGAGAGGGAGAGAGGGATCGACACTGGTTGATGACGGGTGGAAGGGAAGGACGCGGCTGCAACACCAGGGCGTGATCGTGTCGGGTGAGGCTGCAGTGGTCGTGCCGTAGAGTAGCTTGCGGGCACACAGAGTAGCGCGCGTGGCCGTGGCAGAGCGGGAGACGAGAGCGAGATGAGATTCTGCACCGCCTCGTCCGCGTCGACGCCAACTCGCTCGCGCAGGGCCACAGTCGCTACCAGGAGAGTATCCGTCGAGCTGTACAAGTGCAACCCAGCCACACGAGAGCGCGACTCGAGGTGACCGCAGCGACGCGACGCTCGAGTGACGTCCCGCTCGCTCGCTCGCGCGTCTCTCTCTTGCTCTCGCCCTTCACTCGCCACGAGATCCCGCGCCACCCACCATGGCCGCCAAAGCTCCCGCCTCTGCCGCCCTCCTCTCGCAGGCCCAAGCCCTCGGCGACCTCGCCCCTTTCCTCGCCTCGTCCGCCCAGCCCAGCGCACAAGGCTCCCCCGAGCCCACCGTCGCCCAAGCGCAGGAGGGACTGCCGCTCGGCGCATCCACCGACCTCGTCCCCGCCGACAACCACGGCCTCGTCACCGACAAGTCGTGGACTGAGCTCGCAGCCGGCCCGCTCGGCTCGCGCCGCCGCGTCGCAACCTTCATCGCCGCCGCCCTCGTCGCATCGACCGTCGTCCGCTCGGCGTCCTTCTCCGAGTGGGCGTTCGGCAAGTTCCTCGTCGAGAACCTCGCCCCCGTCGAGCGCGACTCGGTCCGGTGGAAGTGGATCCTCGCCAACCGCGTGTGGGAGGTCACGCTCGGCACCTACGCCTGGCGCAGGCTCTCGGGCCTCTTCCGCGGCGAGGGAGGTGCGTCCCACCGTCTCTCTTAGTCCTGTACCGCGCGAGGCCCGAGGTCAGACCCCTGACGCGCACCTCCCGCAGCCCTCTTTGGCGTCCTCCTCGCCCTCGTCGCCCGCCTGTCGCTCTACGGTGCGTCCCCTCTCTCTCGAGCGTTCCCTCGGACGGGCGCAGAGAATGACACCCCCTCGTCTCGACCCCGCAGCTTTCGAGCACAGCTACTTCCTCCTGTCGTGCGTCCCCTCGCTTTCGCCCACCGACTTGAGTGCGTCTCACTGACGGTCTCTCGCGCCCGACGCACATAGGAACCAGACGGTCGGCGTCCTCCTCCTCATCGACGCCATCTCGTTCGCGTCGGCGTTCGCTCTCGCGCCCAAGCTCCTCCCGCACTCGGTCTCGGCGCGCCCGGTCCTCACCGCCCTCACCCGCCTGCGCTCCGACCACGCCCTGTGGATCAACCTCCTGTTCGGCGTCGGCCTCGCGACCTTTGGCGGCGCCGCGGGCAGCTACGTCCTCGAGCGCGCCGGCGGCCGCGACTTTATCAAGCGCAACGTCATCGAGGCGACCGTCCCGAGCTACCTCCTGCGCGACCAGCTGTCGACAAACGAGATCCTCGCCGTGCGTCCCGAGCGCTCTCTCCTCTTGTCTCCTCTCTCGGGTCCGCCGAGACTGACCGTCCTCGCCCGCACAGCACCCGAGTTGGACGATCCCGACCCTGCGCACCTACGACTTTCCCCTGTCGATGGCGCACCACCTGTACCAGTCGGCCCTCACGTCGCTGTCGCTCCTCCCCCTCGTCATGTCGCTCCCGACCCTGTCCCCCCTCCGCCTCGCCGCGCTCGCCGCCCTCGCCGTCGGCGTCCCCGCCGTCACCGTCTACTACGACGTCCTCCCCGTCACGTTCCCCGCCGCGCTCTCGACCGGCGTCGCGCTCGCGACCCGCGCCGGGTTCGCCGCCCTCGTCGAGGCGTGGACGCTCGACGAGCTGCGCCGCACAAAGACGACGCGCAAGGTCCAGGTCGTGCTCGTCGACCCAAAGAGCGGCGAGGTGATCGCGACGAGCGAGGCGACCGTCGAGGAGGACGCGAGGGGCGCCATGCGCAAGGACGACAGGGGCGTCACTCGCAGGAGGTTGACGCTCCGCGGCGAGGTCGAGTACTGAGCGGCGGGAGGGCCCTGAGTGCTTGAACGAGTGGCAGAGGGCGCCGACTCGGCGTGCGCGAGCAGGGTGGACGAGTGGATGACGCCGTCGTCGAGGAGGAGAAGGACGAGCAGGTCGAGCCGGCGGGCAGGGCGAGGAGGAGGACGAGCTTTCGCGAGGCGTACGTCGAGCTGTAAATAGCTGTACCTTTTCTCTACGTCTCGCAGAGCTGTACGACCTGGACCGAGAACGACGAGCCAGAGAGAGCGACGAGTGAAAGAGAGCGACGCCTTCACGAGATGCTTCCCCTGCAAGGCGCGGCTCAGTCGAGAGGCTGCACGCTCGCCGCTCTCTTCTCGCAGACTCGCAGATCTTGGGCTGTGACAGTGCGAGCGCCGCGAACGGCGCAAAGCAAACTACGACGAGCCTCGAGACCGGACCTTCTCAAGTCGCTCTCGAGCCTCTCGACCTCGTCGCGCGCTCGTGAACACGCCCAGACTTGCACAGACAAAAGTACATGCTCCCTCCCACTCGGTCGACACCGCTCAGTGCGAGCCCTCGGTCCAGTTGATCGTCTTGAGGTCGATGCCCTCCTCGAGCATCTCCCACAGCGGGCTCAGGTCGCGCAGGCCTGCGGGGTCGACGAAGCGAGAGTCAGGGTTGGGGTCGCGCTCGAGAGGAGAGGTAGAGAGGGAGGGCAGGGACGCACGCTTGACGCTCGACGTGACCTTGTCGACGACGTAGTCGACCTCCTCCTCGGTCGTGAAGCGGCCGATGCCGAACCGGATCGACGAGTGGGCCATGTCGTCCTCGGCGCCGAGCGCGCGCAGGACATACGACGGCTCGAGCGACGCAGAGGTGCACGCCGAGCCGGACGAGACGGCAATGTCCTTGATGCTCATGAGGACTGGGCGAGGGGGGCGAGCGGCGGCGGGATGTGCGGGTCCGGTGAGGAGGACGAGGTGAAAGAGGTTGGGGCAGACAGCGTCAGGGACTCGTACGTTCCGGCACGACGAGGGCAGGAGAGAGGCAAGATAAAGAGGGACGCACGAGACTCTCCCTCGACCGCCGTGAACGACAGGTTGGTGCAGCCCGGGTACCCCTCGACGTCGCCGTTGCGCACGACGCGCTCGCACTCCTTGGTGATGCCGTGGTACAGCCGGTCGGCGAGCGTGCGGATGTGCTTGTGGTCGGCCTGCGTGCACGAGCCCGACGAGGAGGGTCAGTGCGTGCTCGAGGAGGGGAGGCGGTGCTGCTCCGTCCGAGGTGCGCGCGACGAGGGGACCAGCTCAGAACCCCTGCACGAGACTCGTCGCCTCGCCGACCCGCACGAAGGCGGGACGCGAGGCTCGCCTTGGCCATCTTGGCGAACGTCCAGCCGGGACTCGAGGCCGTGCAGCGCGAGCGCGTCGAGCGCCGAGCCCGGCACGTAGATAGGACGGGTGTCGTCCTCGCTGTCCTTTTCGCGCACGCCCGACGATGCCCTCCTCGAGCCCGAGAGAGAGAGAGAGAGAGAGAGAGAGAGAGAGAGAGAGAGAGAGAGAGAGAGAGAGAGAGAGAGAGAGAGAGAGAGAGAGAGGAAGAGGGGGCGCACCTGCATCTCGCGCTTGGCGAGCCTGCACGCCTCTCCGAACCCGACGACGAGCGGCGCCGGCACGGTGCCCGAGCGCAGGCCGCGCTCCTGGCCGCCGCCCGAGATGATGGGCTCGAGGCGGACACGGGGCTTGCGGCGCACGTACAAGGCGCCGATGCCCTTGGGGCCGTACAGCTTGTGGGCCGAGATGGACAGGACGTCGATGCCCATGGCGTCGACGTCGACGGGGACTGCGAGGGGGACAAGCAGAGTCAGCAGAGTCAGTACATCGTGCTCGGGAGCGAGAGACGAGGGCGAGGAGGGACGCACTCTTGCCAACGGCCTGAGCGGCGTCGGTGTGGAAGAAGACGCCCTTGTGCTTCTTGACGATGGCGCCAATCTCCTTGATGGGCTGGATCGTGCCGATCTCGTTGTTGACCATCATGATGGACACGAGGCACGTGTCGGGGCGGATCGACTGCTCGAGGAGGGTGAGGTCGACGACGCCGTTCTGGCCGACGGGGAGGTACGTCACGTCGAAACCCTCGTCCTGGAGGACGCGGCACGAGTCGAGGACACACTTGTGCTCGGTCTGCGTCGTGATGCTGCGGGCGTCGACTCCTCGAGTCAGTGTACGTTCGCCGAGACGAAAGCGGGCGAGCGTAAGGCGCACATGTGCTTCTTCTTGCCCTTGTAGAAGCGCGCGATGCCCTTGACGGCCGTGTTGTTGGCCTCGGTCGCGCCCGACGTAAAGACGATGTCCTTGGGGTTGGCGCCGATCAGGTTGGCGACGTGCTGCGAGGGCGGAAGAGGGTCAGCGCGAGTCGAGGGCGGGGAAGGGGCACGCGAGAGAGAGGGCGAGGAGGGTTGGACGCACCGCACGCGCCTCGTCGACAGCCTTCTCTGCCTCCCAGCCGAACGAGTGCGTCTTGGAGTGCGGGTTGCCCCAGGCGTTGGTCTCGTAGGGGAGCATGGCGTCGAGCACGCGCGGGTCCATCGGGGTGGTGGCCTGGGCGTCGAGGTAGATGGGGCGACCGACGTTCTCGCGGCTGCATGCGTGTGGGCAAAGCGCGTCAGTGTGCTGCTTGGCTGTGGCTCGGGAGGTTTACGTCGACGAGGGAGTGGCGAGGAGGAGGAGCGAGTGGAGGGGGAGGAGGGGCAAGAGGATGGAGGGACGGACGTGGAGACGGCCGACTCGTTTGCCGAGATCTCGAAGCCCTGCATGCCGTCTGTCGGGCGGAGGAGGGTGGTCTGCTCTTGCTGGAGCTCGACGGGGATGGACGAGCCGCTGCCGAGCGGGACCTGGGTGGTGACGGTGGCGAGGGTGCGCCTGGCCGGTGCGGCGGTGCGGGCGATGCGGCCGAGGGTGGCTACGGAGCGGTGCATCGTAGCTGTTGCAGGTGGTCGGGAGAAAGGAGAGCCGACGAGATGGAGCGAGCGACCGATGAGAAACCCTCCCTCCACCTCATCTCTCGCCGCTCCCACACACCCTCAGCGCGCAATCGGGCTCGGTAGACCTACTCCGACACTTCTCTGCAAGGATTCACGCGCGCCGAAAAGTCTGCACGAGGCCTGCACGTCCTCACACAACCTGCTTCCCGCCCGGCAATTCCCCGCCAGCCCGACTCGCCTCGCCTCGACCTCTCTCGGACAGCGTGCTTGCTTGCGCCTGCTCGCAGGTGTACCGGCGGTATCTCGGCGGACGGGCGTTCTCGGAGGAGGCGCGGGGTCGGGCGGGAGACGAGCACGAGTCGTGCGATGAGCTGTCGCCGGCGAACGCGGCTCTTGGCGGGGCGAGCGCGGTCTCTGTGTAGCTTTGGCGAGCTGTGTGCGTGCAACAGAGTGCCCCTGCAGTCCACCCGAGCGAGTTGAGCCATGCCCGTCATCGTCTTCATCGAGCCGAGTCCGGAGAAGGCGGCGGGTCTGCTCCTCGTCTCGCTCCCACCACTCGCTGTGCACCTGCTGCCAACATGGACAAGATCAAGCACGCCCTCCACCTCGACGACGTCCGTCCCCCTCCCCCTCCCCTCCCTCGCAGCCCGCTCAACCCTGCGAGCTGACCCGCCTCTCGGTCGCCCCTCCTGCAGAAGACGGACGACCCGGTCGAGTACCGCAAGTGGGTCGACGACGCCCGCGACAAGCACACCGCCGAGGAGGCCCGCGCAGACGCCCTCGCCGGTGCGTCCCCCTCTTCCCCCCTTCCTCCCTCAACTCGTCCTCACCGCGGTCCCGCTCACCCTCTCGCGCACCCGCCCGCAGCCGAGCGCGAGGCCGAACAGCGTGCCCACCCGTCCCACGCCCACACGCTCGAGCCTGTCCAGGCGCACGAGCTCAGCTCGATGCCCCACCGCCCGGCGCTCGAGGAAGCTGTCGAGGGCCACAAGACCGTCACCCCGGGCGAGGTGACCCGTCCCGACCTCGAGGGCGTGACCCACATCCCCGAGAGCGAGCTCCCGGAGCGCAAGCCGTGCGTCCCCCCTCTCTCTTCCGCCCCGAGGACGACGAACTGACTCCGGTCGCCTCCCTCCCTCCCTCTGCACCCCGCCAATTGCCCTGAACGTCCCGCAGTCGTATGGAGAGGACGGCTCTCAGGCCTAGCGATCCCAACGATGAAAACGTGCGTCCTGGCAATCTTGCGCGGCGTCGAGGCGTCCAGGGGCGCGCTCGAGGCGGTCCGCAGCACGTTTCACTGACTCGGTTCTCTCCCGCTCGCAGTCGATGGACGGCGCCGCGTCGTACGGCACGGCCGGTGACGACCGCGCCATCTGAGCGTCGAGCGGCAGCAGCGCAGGAGAGCGAGACGGGCGGGCACGAGCGGGAACGAGGTTCGCGCGAGGAGGACGAGGTCGGAGCGCTTGAGGTGGGACGACGGGTCGAGGACGGTTCGTACGAGGACAGACACTGCATCCATGTCATTACTGTACGCACGGGCGAACGAGAGTGATTCTGAGCGAGCGCGGCGAGGTTGTATTCGAGGCAAGGCGCGGCGTGTAATGCGACTCAGACTTGCGCTTGACCGCCGACCTCTCTCCGCCTCTCGACCTCGCTCGACTCTCCGCCCCGTCGACGACCTTCCACCGGGCCCACCGTCGACCATGCCGCTCACCCAGGAGATTCAGAAGGCGCTCCCCAACCTCGACTTCCCCGTCCTCTCGTGAGCTCCACCCTTCATCTCCCTCGCCGCCTCTCTCCCCCTCTGGCGCCTCGGGCTGACCTCGTGCGCCACACACAGGTACATCGACAGCCTGTTCCGCCCAGGAGCCGACCCGGAGGACCACCCGGTCGACACCTTCATCCGGCCCCTCCTCGCGTCCGAGTCGGTGCACCCGGTCCCGCACGACACGATCGAGCGCATCTGCGCCGAGGCGCAGGCCCAGTGGGACAAGCTCACGGGCGCCGACGGCGCGGCGGGCAGTGGCGGCGCCGGCGGCAGCGGCACCAAGGGCCCGGCCAAGCTCGACCAGGCGCTCGACATGAAGCGCCAGGAGCTCAAGAGCCGCAAGCAGGCCGTCACCCAGGTCGTCGACATTGCCTCGGTCGTGCGTCCCCTCTGTTCCCCTGAGCGTGAGCGGGTACGGCGGCTAACCCTCTCTCCCCCGGCAGGTCAAGGCGCGAGAGACGCAGGTCAACATGAAGGCGCTCGAAAAGGCCGAGGCCAAGCTCAAGAGCAAGCTCGAGAAGCGCAACGCCAAGTCGCTGTACGAGGGCTCCAAGCTCATGGAGGCGCAGAACAACAAGAAGAGCTACGAGGAGCTCTTCCTCGAGGTCAACCCGCTCAACGCCGTCGGCCAGAGCAAGGGCAAGAGCAAGGACATCCAGCTCGAGAACATCGACGTGAGTCCCTGCGTCTCTGTCTCCTCGCCTCGCCTGTCTACCCGGCGCCGAGGACTGACCCTTGCCCGGACCCGACGCGCAGCTCAACTTTGGCTCGCACCGCATCCTGTCGAGCGCGACGCTCACGCTCCCGTACGGTCGTCGCGCCGGCCTTATCGGTCGCAACGGTGTCGGCAAGTCGACGCTCCTGCGCGCCATGGCCCTGCGCGAGGTGCCCATCCCGGGCCACATCTCGATCCTGTACGTCCAGCAGGAGGTCGTCGGCGACGACACGCCCGCGATCGAGAGCGTCCTCCAGGCCGACGTGCACCGCACCCGCCTCATGGCCGAGGAGAAGGAGCTCAACGAGCAGATGGAGGTCCTCGAGCGCGAGGGCGACGAGCTCGTCAAGCGCGGTGCGGCCGCGACGGCCGACGACGAGCGCACGGCCGTCCACGGCGAGGTGCGCAAGCTCGAGCGCAAGAAGGACGACGCCATGGCGCGCCTCGGCGAGGTCCAGCGCCTCTTGATCGACATCGACGCCGACTCGGGCCCGTCGCGTGCGGCGGAGCTCCTCGCAGGTCTCGGCTTCACCAAGGAGGACCAGGTGTGCCCCGCCTCTCTCTCGCCTGTCTCTCTCTCTCTTTCTCGGCCCGTCATTGACCTCGTGCGCACGTGCAGGACATGCCGACGCGGGCGTTCTCGGGAGGATGGCGCATGCGTCTCTCGCTCGCTCGCGCCCTCTTCTGCAAGCCCGACCTTCTTCTTCTCGACGAGCCGTGCGTCCACCTCTCCCTCCCCTCCTCGTCGCACTCGCTCACTCGCATACACGATCCGCAGGTCGAACAACTTGGACCTGAACGCGCTCGCGTGGCTCGAGGACTACCTGCAGACGTGGCCGTCGACCCTGTTCGTCGTGTCGCACGACCGGTCCTTCCTCAACGCGGTCGCGACCGACATCATTCACCAGCACGCCGAGCGCCTCGACTACTACAAGGGCAACTTTGCCCAGTTCTACGCGACCAAGAGCGAGCGCGCCAAGCAGCAGCGCCGCGAGTACGAGAGCCAGCTCCAGTACCGCCAGCACCTGCAGGCTTTCATCGACCGGTGGCGCTGTGCGTCCCCTTTTCTACCTCTCTTTCTCTCGCCTCGAGCGCGCACGACTGTAGCGCCGTCGTCGTCGAGAAACCGCGAACTTACCCCTCCCTCTTTACCCCTCTCCTCCCTCCTCTCGATCCTCGCCAACAGACAACGCCAACCGTGCCGCGCAAGCGCAGAGCAAGATCAAGATCCTCGAGAAGCTGCCCGAGCTCACGCCGCCCGAGGAGGACGACGTCGTCACGTTCAAATTCCCCGAGACGGACAAGATCTCGCCGCCGCTGCTCCAGCTCGCCGACGTCGACTTTGGGTACCACAAGGACCGCGTCCTCCTCAAGGGCGTCAACATCGACGTCGGCCTCGACTCGCGCATCGGCCTCATCGGCGCAAACGGCGCCGGAAAGTCGACCTTGTGCGTCCGCTGCGTCTCTCCTGCACTCGTCGTTCCTGCGCCATACAGGCCCAGACTCTGACGGTGCACATCGCTCGAGCCCACGCAGGCTCAAGCTCCTCATCGGCGAGCTGCAGCCGATCCGGGGCCAGCAGACGCGCAACGGCCGCCTCCGCATCGCCTGTGCGTCGCCCGTCCCTCCTCGCCTCCCTCGCACGAGTCGCGAATAGCCTCACTGACCCTCGCACCCGCGCCACGCAGACTTTGCGCAGCACCACATCGACTCGCTCGACCTGACGGTCAACTCGGTCACGTACTTGCAGCGCATGTTCCCCGGCATGACGGAGCAGCAGTACCGCCAGCACCTCGGCGCGTTTGGCATCACGGTGCGTCCCGGCCTTGAGCCTTTCGTCCCTTTCTCCCTCCCTGCTCCCTCGTCGCCTCGTCGCCTCGCCTCGCCCCGCCCGGCCGTCGCCGCCGCCATCTTTCGGGTTCTTGTTCGCCAGGACTGACTCTGCCTCTCTCTCGCCGCACACAGGGCATGACGTCGCTGCAGCTCATCGGCACCCTGTCGGGAGGGCAAAAGTCGCGCGTGTCGTTCGCCGTGTTGAGCATGCAGCGGCCGCACATCCTCATCCTCGACGAGCCGACCAACCACCTCGACCTCGAGGGCCTCGACGCGCTCATGGACGCGCTCAACCAGTGGAACGGCGGCGGTGAGTCGGGCTGCGCTCGCTGCTGCATGCCGAGCCGACGATTGGCGATCGAGGGCTGCTTGGCAGCTCGTCCGGTCGCCTGCTCGTCATCGGCCGTGTACTGACCTGCTCTTCTCCCGACTCGCAGTCATCCTCGTCTCTCACGACAGTCTCTTCATCCACACGTGTGTCCCCTCGCTGTTTCTCTTCCTCCCCCTCGATGGCGCCCGTCCTGACCTGTTTCCTAACCCTCCCACGCGCAGGGTCTGCAAGGAGCTCTGGGTCTGCGGCGACCAGCAGGCGCAGAAGTTCTATGGCGACGGTGCGTCCCCCTCTCACACTCCCTTTCGAGCTCCCGTGCGAGCTCGCTGGGCGGCCGGAAGAGCGGGAGTTGACTCTCTCTTCCCTCGCCTCTCTCCCTCGTCCACTCGCTCGCAGTCGACGAGTACAAGAGCCTGATTGTCAACGGCAAGCAGACGATGCGGCCGACGCAGGTGTAGAGCCGGTAGACCGAGACGGTGTTGCAGTGGATCCGCTCGCACGCGAGGAGCAGGAGAGGGAAACTTGCGACACCAGCTCGAGGCTCGGGGCGGTCGTTCGCGTCCCTGCGAGTGCCTGAGAGCCTGTCCGAGAGCGTCCTCTGTGCCAGTCGAGAGGTGCCGTCGTCGTCGTCGTCGTCGTCGTCCTCCTCCGCCTCTCGCTCCCCCACCAACCTCACGCCGGCTTGACCTCGCCCAGACCATGTCCGACACCGACGAGCGCGCCCAGAGTGCCACCAACAGCGACACCGAGGACCAGCCGGCCCAGCAGGAGGAGCAGGGCACGCAGGAGGGAGCCGCCGAGCCGTTCGCCGACATTGTGCGTCTCGCGTCCTTCACTCTCGCCCTTGGTGCTGCAGGGAGCACCAGGCGTGCGTCCGTGGTCTACGATGCTCACGACTGACTCGTCCCGTCCCTCCAGTTCGCCGAGAGCGACGCAGGGAGCGAGCTGACCGACATCGAGGATGTCGACAACGGTGCGTCCCTCTCTCGCCCCTCTACGCCCTCGTGCGTGGAGCCGAACTCACAAACGCACCCCTGCCACAGACACGCGCGACCGTTCGGCCTCGCCTGCCGCCGCCGCCGCCTCCTCTTCCCGTCGCCGCACTCGCTCCCCCTCTGGCTCGCGTTCGCCCTCACCTGCCGCCGGTCCCGCCAGCGACGACGACGACGACGACGATGCCCAAGACGAGTACCGCGAGGACGCCGTCAAGCGCCTGCCCAAGATCGGCAAGAAGAAGCGCTCCCAGGACGAGGTCGACGACGATGCCGCTGCTGCTCCGTGCGTCGCCCTCTCTCACACTCTCCCCTCTCTGCGCCCAGTGCGACTCACACTGACTCGGCCTCGACATGCGCGCGCAGACGGAGGAAGAAGCCCAAGTCGAAGCGCAAGGAGAAGGTGCCCGACCCCGAGGAGGACGAGGACGCGCACCTCGACCCTGAAGCTCGTGCGTCCCCTGCCGCCGCATCTCGACGCCATGTTGCCCCCCCCCGCGCAACATTCACTGAGTTCCACCGCGGACCCTTGGCACACAGGTCGCCGCAAGGAGCTCATGGCCAAGATCACCGCCGCGGCCAAGAAGCCGGCGGGGACGGGCCGCACCAAGAAGCGCAAGCAGCAGGACGAGGAGGTGCGCCCTCGCCCTCTCCCCTATCCTCTCTTCTCCATCGAGCGCCGACTGATGGGCTGGTCCACCTCGTGCGCAGGACCTCGACCTCATGAACGACGAGGCGGTCGCCACTTTGCGCAGCGAGATGCTGCGAGCGGCAGACGAGGACGTCGACGAGAACAACCTCGGCCGGCCTGCCCTCAACAAGCTCCGCCTACTGCCCAAGGTCGTCGACGTCATGCAGAAGTGCGTCGCCCTCTTTCCCTCCCGTCGCGGTTTCGGACTTTTCGCGACTTGACGAATTAACGCCTGTCTCTCCCTCTCCTCCCCCTCTTCGCCCCGTCGCCCGCACCTACAGGACGGTCCTTCACGAGACGATCGCCGAAAGCGGCATGCTCGAGGCGGTCAAGCGCTGGCTCGAGCCTCTGCCCGACAAGTCGCTCCCGGCGCTCAACATCCAGCGCCCGCTCATGTCGCTCCTGCGCACTGTGCGTCGCCGTCTCTCTCTCTCCCTCTCTCCTCTCTCTTGCCCGCCTCTGTGCCGTCGCCCTCGCCCGTCTGCGCCTCGAGGACCGCCGACCTGACCCTCCTCGTCTCGCCGACACAGTTCACGATCGAGACGTCGGCCCTCAAGTCGTCCGAGCTCGGCAAGGTCATCTACTTCTACACCAAGTGCAAGCGCGTCGACCCGGCCGTCGCGCGCCTCGCGACCCAGCTCGTCGGCGAGTGGATGCGGCCCATCCTGCGCCGCTCCAAGGCGTTCGTCGACCGCGACTTGGCCCAGGGCCGCGCGCGGTACGGCGCGAGCAGCCACGAGGCGGCAAAGGCGGCGGGCAGGGGCCAGGGTGGGGCCGAGGACGCGGCGCAGGCGACGAGGCACGCGAGGATCCCGCAGGTGCGCACGAGCCCGTTCTCTCTCTCCCCCTCCCCTTCCTCTTCGACCTCTCCTCCCCTCTCCTGCGTCTTTTTCTCGATACGATCCAGTCATTGACGCTCTCGTCGTCCACCACCCCGCAGGCCCTCACGGCGACGTACGCTGTCGCGCCCGGCTCGCGCGTCACGGGCCAGAGCACGACCCTGCCCGGCCAGGGCAGCGGCGCCAAGATGCGCGGGTTCAAGCAGAAGATGCAGATGGCGCAGCAGGCCGCCAGGAGGGGCTGAATGTCGTCGTCGTCGAGGGCGGGGCCCGACTCGAGGGAGGGGAGAGGTCGGCGGGTGCGCGAGGGCGGGTTTTGTACTCTTTTTCGTCTCTCGGCAGCAATGGACTTGCTGCCCTCCCAGGCTCGCATACACGAGAGAGAGGCGAGAGCGAGACCGTGACAGCTTTTTGCGTGCTAAGAGAGGGAGAGGACATTGTTCCGACGAAAGCGTAGAGGGGAGCGAGGGAGGGAGAGGGAAGGGGTATCGTTCACTGCTGCGGCTGCTGCTGCGACTGCTGCGAGCGCTATGTATAGAGAAGAGTCAGTGACGGCTCAAAAAGTCCCACACGCCGGAGGACGAGAGAGAGAGACGCACCCTCAAACCGCGACCCTCGCCGCCGCCCTGCCTCCTCGGGCCACGTCCACCGCCGCCGCCACCACCGCCGCCACCGCCACGCCTGAAGCCGCCGCGCCCGAGCTGCGCTCCCGACTCACCGAACGTGTCCATGTTGCGCTCGCGCTCCTTTGCGCGGTCGTACCTCCCGCCGCCGTAGCCTCCTCCGCCCATGCCGCCGTACCTGCCCATGGCGCTCTGCTGCGCCGGGTCGGTGCGCGTCTTCGAGTCGCTCGAGATCGAGTCGAAGAAGGACGTCTGCGGGTTGTAGTAGGCCTCGTCGTGGACGGGCGGCGGGACGACAAAGTCGTCCTGCTCGTCGTCGGCGGCGGCGGCGGCGGCGGGAGCCGGGGCAGGCGCGTCGGGGAGCGCCGACGGCTTCTGGAACGACGCGTTGGCCTTGGCAAAGTCGAACTCGGCGTCGGGGACCGGGACCGGGGCGGCGGCGGCGGGCCTGCCGCCGTGGTTGCCGATCGCGCCCGACGACTGGCCGGCGCCGCTGCCGCGGTCGTTGCCGTACGGCTGTAGCTGACGAGGACGCTGCGGGCCGCCCTGCTGCTGCTGGTGGTGGCCGCCCGCGGAGCCCGACGAGAAGACGCTCGCGCCGACGCCGTCCTCGCGACGGCCGCCGCGACGACCCTGGCCGTGCGCCTGCTGCTGCTGCTGCTGCTGGGGCTGCTGCGGCTGGCCGAGGTTGGCGCGCGACATGTCCTTGGCGAGCTGCTCGATGTCGGCCGGCTGCTTCTTGGGCGAGGCGGCGGCCGAAGGAGCTGGCTGCGAGGCCGAGCCATTGGTCTCGGGGCGCGTCTCGTTGGGCGTGGCGGGTGCCACGGGCGGGTTCTGCGCGGTCGCAGGCGCTTGAGCGGGTGCGACGGCGGGGCTCTTGGCGCCTTGCGGGCCCTGCTGGGCCTGCTGTGGCTGCTGAGGCGGAGGAGGGCCGGGCGGGAAGCCGGGCCCGCCAGGGAAGCCGTGCGGCGGCGGGCTGAACGGCCCAGGAGCGCCGAAGGGACCCGGCGCGCCGAACGGCGGGTACGGCGCGCCGCCGAAGCCGCCGTTGAAGCCGGGTCCGGGCTGGCCGAACGGGTTCGGGTGGGCGCCAAAGGGGGCGCCGGGGAAGGGAGGAGGGTACGGGGCGAACGGCGAGTGCGGGCCGCCGGGGATCTGGGGAGGACCGGGAGCGTAGGGCGACTGGGGGCCCTGCTGCTGCTGCTGGACGGCGGGAGCGGCGGGCTTGGGCGGCGAGGCGGCAGCCGACTGGACAGGCGAGGCGGCAGATGCGGCGGCGGGCGCGCTCGAGGCAGGAGCGGCAGTCTGTGTGTTTGTGCGAGAGTGAGCGTGGGCGCTGGGTAGGAAGGCGGCAGAGAAAGAGGGACGCACGCCGACGATGGCCGGGTCGCTCGGCGCAGCCTCGGGAGCCGGGCCCTCGATCTGCAGGTCCTTGACGTCCGAGGCGCGGAAGACGATGAAGCTGTGCACGACGGTCAAGGTGTCAGCTCTGCAACCAGGAGAGGAGAGAGAGAGAGGAGCGCTGGACGCACTCGTAGCTCGTGTCGCTCGGGGGAACCTCCTCCGCCGGGTTGCCCTTGCGGCCCTCGGTGCCGAGAGAGCGGACTGTGGACAGAGGGTAGAGTCAGTTTCCCGCGTGCTTGCGTGAGCCCCGCCCTCGGCCCAGACTCGGGGCGACGGCGAGGCGACCAAGAGGAACGCGAGAGCTGACCCTTTTCGAGCGAGACGGTGGCCTGGAGCGGGTCGATCGAGTGGAGCACACCCTGGTACCGGATCTGGTTGGGGCGGGACAGGCGAGGTGAGCAGGCGTGGGAGAGCGGGGGAGGAGGAGGGGGCGAGGTCGATGAGGGCGAGAGCGGGACGCACGTCGCTCTTGGACACGAGAGAGATGACCTGGCCGATGAATTGGGCTGCCATCTTGCCCCTGGTGCGCTTCTGGAGGGCGCAGGCGAGCGACAGAGTCGAGTACAGAGCCGACTGCTTCGTCGCGGCGAGCGAGCGACCACCGCCGCGCGAGCGAGGCAACCGCCGCTCTCTGAGCTCTCAAAGTGCGACTGTGGCTGCACTCCTGACAGAATGATAGAGCTCGTGAGCCGAGCCAACCCCTCGAAAAACTCGCTTTCGACGTTCGACTTCCGACGCCGCGAGGCTCTCGACTCCAGCTTGCGCAACTCTCTCCGAGCAAGCCTCGTGCACGACTCTATGTATCGGAGAACCGCAGCTACGGCTCCAGCACTGACGGCGAGACGCCGAGAAAGGAGACGACGCGACGGAAAGAGGTGCGCTCGAGCCCGTCAGCTCGACACTGCGCGTGCTCGGACGCTCGACTGCTCCGCTCACGTCGCCGGCGAGTAGAACAGCGGCTTGCCCGGCACGCAAGACGACGCACTCGACCCGCCGGCTGCGCCCGAAGCGTCAAAGTGGAACCGCCAGCCCTCCTTGCAGACCACTGCGAGCGGCGAGAGGGACGTCGTCGTCGACGACGGCGTCAGTCGACGTGCCAGGCCTCTCGCACCTCTCGAGAGAAGAGGGCAGGGGACGCACATATCTCACACTCGCCGTCGTCGGTGCACTGGGCCTGCAGAATGCCCGGTCGAGAGAAGCAGTTCCTCTGCTCGCGGCCGCACTGCGTTGCGAGCAGCGTCAGGAAAGGCTCGAGCTCCGCCGCGACGTCGAGAGCAAGGACGCACAGAGTATGGAGAGCGCGTGTGCTGGCAGACGGGCAATGCGCCGTCGTCGCCGCCGACGCGAGCGTAGCCGACCGGACAAGGCGGCACCTCGCGCTCGAACCCCTCGCGGAATTCTGCAGGGGATGCACGTGTAAGCTAGAAGCTCAGTCTTGGCAGAGCGTCGAGCCGTCGTGCCGTCGACCATCGCCGCTGTGTCGACGTATGGGAAGGGAGAGAGGGAGGAAGAGTCGACGCACCCAAGCCGCAAGTTGCCCGCCTCTTCCAACTTCTCTCTCCGGACTCGCCCTCTCGTGCGGCGGGCCAGTCGTCCACCTTGTACCCCTCCTCGACCAGTCGCTCGAGGATGGCGGCGTCTCGCTCGTCGTCGTCGCGCAGGTCCTCGATGCAGACGGCTCGGCGGTCGTTCAGGCCGTTGCCGTCGCACAGCGAAGCGCCTTGGTCAAGTTTGCCGCTGCAACGACGAGTACTCGTCAAGGTCGAGACTCTGGAGAGGGAAAGAGAGCGAGACGCACCAGAAGCACCCGCCGTCGGCGTCGAGCTGCGCCATGGTCGCTGTCGGGCAGCGTTGGACAAGCCACGCCGGCCTCGCCGGCTCGTCGTACCGCTGCTGAGCGACCGAGGCTGACGAGTCCTGGACGCTCGGCGCGAAGCTATTGCGCGCCATCTTGTCGGCGAGGAGGCGCGAGAGCGAGAGAGCGAGGCCCTCTCGAGCGGGCTGCATGGCGGCTGGAGGTGTGCGCGAGGCGGTGCTGAGAGCGCTCGAGCTGGTCAGGAGACCGTAGACGTCTGAGGTCGCGGTCGTAGAGCGAGCTGCCGGGCACTGAACGCGGCGCGTGCGCGTGTGGCGCAAGGTCGAGTGCGAAGGAGGAGGAGGGCAAGCGAGAGCGCGCTCGCGGCGAGGAGGGCAATCGCGAGCAGCGACGAGCAGGCAAGAATGACTGGAGCACACGACTGCCAAAGGGCACCGGCGCGCACCTGACCTCGCCGAACGAGGGAGCTCGAGGTTCGGCGCGTCGTCGATCGTGTTGCCTCGAAAGCTCCTGAATCGGACCGACGGCTCGTCGACGTTGCTGCACGGCGCGGCGCCGCCCTTGCAAGCTTTCGGGCGCACTGCGAAGAGAGCCGACCTTCTCACGAGACGAAGAGAGGGGCTCGAGCGCGAGGCCGCGGCGCGAGGTCAACGCGGAGAAGTCAACTCTCGGTCGGCTCGACGACGCTCTCGCAGACTCGTAGGCAGAAGAGGAAGAGAAAGAGTGCCGGTAGGCGTAGTACTACAAGCACGATGGATGGGGGTACGCAAAAGGGCGACGCGGCGTCTGGCGCTCGGTCGCGATGAGAGGGTGGTGGGCGAGGGAGCAAAACGACAAGGGTGCTCGAGCCGGGCGAACGGCGCCTCACTGCTCCTTCTTGACCTCGTCCGAGCCGTTCATGCCGGCCGCCATGCTCTTCTCGCGCGAGTTGGCCGGCGGCGCGTCGCTCGGGCCCGACACGTCCTCGCCCGTGAAGTGCAGCTCCTGCCCGCCGTTGCCGCGGATCTCGGCCTCCTTGCGGATGCGGTCCTCGCTCGAGTTGATCGACGCCGGCTTGACGCGCGAGTTGTTGAACGGGTGCGGCGGTGCGTGGCCGTGCTCGGGGTCGGCGGGGAGGAAGCCGTGCGTGCTGTCGACCTCGCGGCGGAGCTGGATAAAGTCGTACGACCACTCGCCCATCTCGACATCGTCGACGCCGATGATCTCGCCCTCCTCGTCGACGCGGAACTTGCAGCCCGGGATGAGGTTGATGAGGGTCATGAGGATGTACGACATGACGAAAGTCCTGCGAGGGGGCGACGAGAAGGAATCAGGACGCCGTCCTCGTGCTCGAGTAGGTCTGGGGCAGGCGAGGGGACGAGAGCGAGGGCGAGGGCAAGAGGTGGGCCTGCGCTCGAGCTTGCCCTCCTTGGTCGCCCTCGCCGCTCAAAGGGGGCGGACGAGGGAGAAAGAGGGACGTACCAGCCCCACACGGCGCAGATGTAGGCAAACTGGTAGCCGACGACGATGTAGTTGCCGTCGAGCCAGCCGCCAGGGATGACCGTGTAGCCGTCGAGGGCGGCAATCTCGGCCTGGGCGAACACGCCGGTGAAGACGAGGCCGACGATACCGGCGACGCCGTCTGCAGGCGCGAGGACGAGGGCGAGTAGACGGGCAGGACGGTGATGGCGAGGCAGGGCGACGAGGGAAGGAGGAGAAAGAGAGGAGGCGACGAGGGAACGAGTCAGCGCCGCTCGCCGACGATAGGCGAGCACGAGAGATAAGAGAGAGTTGGACGCACGGCAAGCGTAAATGTCCATGGCGTCGTCAAAGGCGAAGAAGCCCTTGAGCGTCGTGAGCAAGTTGGAGATGGCGGCGCTGACAACGCCGATGAAAATGGACGGGCTGCGATTGCGAGGAGTGGCTCGGTCAGTACGGCCCGACCGCGACAGAGAGAGGCTTGAGAAAAGAGTCGACGCACCCGTAGCCGACGTAGCCTGCGGCAGGCGTGATGGCGACGAGGCCGCAGATGGCGCCCGTGCAGTACCCGACGGCCGACCACTTGCGCTCGAGGCGGTAGTCCATGAGCATCCACGCGAGGCCGCCAAAGCCGGCCGACAGGTTCGTGTTGGTGATGGCGACGGCCGCCTTGACGTTGGCGGCGAAAGTCGAGCCGCCGTTGAAGCCGCCTGCGGGAGGGGAGCGAGGTCAGCAAGGGGTCCGAGTTGAGGGCGCGACGACGACGGCGGCGAGGAATTGAGGCGTACACCATCCGACCCTGCGCGCGACGAGGAGTGTGAGCTGCAACGGTCTAGAGGCCGGCGAAACCGAGGGCGCGAGAGGGCGCCAACCCCCAGGGCGAAGGAGAGAGAGAGAAAGAGAGCTCGAGACGCACCAGAGGAAGATGGTTCCCTGGATGACGAACGTCGTGTTGTGCGGCTTGAAGCTGAGGATGTGGGTGCCGAAGCCTCGGCGCTTGCCGAGGAAGATCGAGTAGACGAGGCCCGTCACGCCCGAGCAGATCTCGATCGGCCCACCGCCGGCGTAGTCGAGGACGCCGAGCTTGAAAGCCCACCCCTCGGGCGCCCAGATCCAGTGGACGACAGGGCAGTAGACGAGGGTCGACCAGCAGAAGAAGAAGATGCAGGCGGGGAGGATGCGGCCTCGCTCGGCGGCGGCGCCGATCAGGACGGCCGGGACGAGGGCGGCGAACATGTTCTGGTAGCTGTAAGACGAGGAACGGTGTCAGCTGCGCCTGGTGTTGCGACGTCGACAGCGTGACGAGGGCATCACGCAGCCGAAGAGAGAGATCAGGCGCGACGCACATCATGTAGACGACCTGGGGCACCTTGTTGTTGGCCTGCGGGACGGGCGTCTCGAGGACGTGGCGCAGGACAAAGTGGTGCATGTCGCCGAGGAAAGGTCCTCCTGTCGGCGAGAAGGCGAGCGAGTAGCCCTGCGCGACGAGGCAGAGAGTCAGTCGGGGTCGAACGGCGACGACGAGCGCGAAACAGGGACGAGCAGGACGCACCCAGAAGAACCACTGGAACGAGATGATGGCCATAGCGAGCATCGTGAGGAACAGGACCGTGAGAGCGTTCTTTCGCCGCACGAGGCCCGAGTAGAGGTACCTGCGCGAGGGAGGGCCGGCGTCAGGAGGTCGACGGCGGCCGGGTCGATGAGAGGGAGGAGGACGCACCCGACGCCGGGAATCATGAGCCACACCAATGCCGTACAGGTGAGGATCCACGCGCTGTGGACGGGGAGAAGGCCGAGGGTCAGTGAACGGCCTCGGGGACGACGACGGGGCGCTCCTGCTCGCCCGCATCGGGGCTCGTCGTCGTTCCACCTCAGGTCTCGATCGGTGTCGTGGCTCCGTGAGAGCGCACACGAGGTCTGACGGCGCTGAGGGCCAGGCGATAGCCGCCTGGAGGAGACTTCGACGAGCGCGACTGCCCTCGCCCTGCGCGACGCTGCCCGCCGCTCGCCGTTCTCCACGATGCGCCGCACCGTCCGACGCCCAGCACAGGGTCGCTCGACGAGACGCTCGCGAGTGCGACCCTTTGACCGAGATCCAGGTCCCGATCACCCTCTGACCCGCGTCCCGCGGCCGGCGAGGAAAGGAGAGCGAGAGGACGAGAGGACGCACATGTCGCCCGGGTTGTACGCTGCGACCTGGCCGTCAGAGCCGTAGGTGACGATCATGTCGGTGCCGCCTGGCGCGATGCCGTACGTCTCGCCCGCCGTGGGGTCGACTTGAGCTGCCGAGGCGAGGAGGCCGCCATAGCTGTTGGCGCGAGGGAGGGCACCAAGGGGCACGAGTCAGTACAGGACTCGTCGGCGAGGTGCATCGCGGGCTCTGATCTGGGCGCGGCGCTCGACGATAGAGCCCGGTGGGCGAGGGATAGGCGATGGCTCGCGAGTTGGAGGAAAGGGGCGAGGCGAGACGGCAACGCACGTGATGTTGACCATGGCTGGTGGGTGCTAGCGGTCGAGGGCGAGTGAGGCTTGTAGCGAGTGCTGCTCTGCAGGCGGGCCCGGTGCTGTGGCAGGAGCGAGGACGAGGTGGAGGGATCCGCGGCGGAACGAGGGAGGATCGGGCGGGCGGACGGGCTGTCGACGCTCGGGGCGGCTGTGCGGCGGGTGCTGAGTCGCAGTCGAGTGGGCGCAGCTGCTGCACGGCTGAGCACGTAGCGAGTGGGCGAGGGGATTGTCGCCTGGTCGCCGCGCCTCGAATCGTCCGCCGTCTCGCTGCCCAAATGCGCCGCGGCCCCCCTTGCCCGCTTAGCCTCGAAAAAAGTTTTGACCCCGCCGTTCGAAACCCTTTCGAGCCTCGGCGAGATAAGCAGCACGCCAGGGAAATCACCCTCGCCCTCCCCTCCCTCACGACTCCGAAGCACTGCGCTTACTGTCCGAGTCAAGCTCGACTTTGCGCGCTGCTACTCCGACGAGAGGCAAGCTCGCCCGTCTCGCGGGCGAGCCACAGAACCGGAACCCGCACCTTGCCCAAGCGGAGCCCCGATAGCGCTCAATTGACCTTCTCGATTGGCACTTCTCTCTCTCTCCCCCTCGCTCGCACGCGACGAGCATCGCTTGGCTCGCGTGCAAGTCGGCGAGAATCGGACGATCTGCTCCTCCTCGAGAGCGCACAGGGAAGCTGCGACGGCTCGCAAGTGCTTTCTCTCGAGCTTTCTGCGGAACAGAGGCCCGACGCTCGAGGACGAGGACGGCGGGCGTTGCAGACGAAGGAGAGGGGTATCGACACCGATAGAGAGGGTACGAGAGGTGGTACAAAGGACAGGCAGGGTGGGCCGAGGCAGAAGAAGAGCGAGAGCTCGAGGGGCGTCACCGTGCGCGTTGCCGAGCGTCGGCGTCCGAGCTGCTCGCCGGCGCGCCGTAATCCTGTACGTGTACTCGAGGTCAGTTGAGAACAATGGACGGCGCGAAAGCTGGAAGGAGGGAGAGAGGGAGAGAGAGAGAGGGACGCACGACGTAAGTTGCCTTCTCGGCGGCGCGGTACTCGTCGATGAGCTCGGCGGCCGACGCCCGGGCGTCCTCGAACGGCTCGAGCGAACCGTTGAAGAGCGGCTCGGGCGTGTACGCCTGGAGGAACGCCTTCTTGTTGCGCAGGAGGTCGAACTGGCGCAGCTGGGCCGCAAAGAGCTGAACGGGGTCCGAGCACCGTCAGTTCTGCTCGCCGCCGTCGACGAGCGCGACACACAGGAACTGGGTGAGAGCGGGACGCACCGACGCGATGCCGGTGTGGTTGGCGACCATGCAGCCGCTGACCCTCGGCGGCGGCGCCGACCCCTCGACGAGGCTCTTGGCGCGCACGTACGGGCTCGGCGTGGTGAGCGCGACCTGGATCGACGCCGGGCCCCACGGGATGAACGACGCGAGGCCTCGCTCGCGGATGCGGACGAGCGACTTGTGCACCTGCGTGACGGCGGACGAGCGAGATCAGCTGGCTGCGAGGTCAGGCCGAGGGAGCGAGAAAGAGAAGAGGGGGACGCACGTCGGTCGGGTCGACCTCGTCGCCCTGGATGATGTTCATGATCGAGATGTAGCAGCTCGACTTGGCGTCGCTCGCGAACGACGTCGACACGAGGCGGTTCTTGGGCTGAAGGAGCCGGCGCATGACGTCGAGCACGGTCGTCTTGCGCACGGCGCGAGCCTGTGGGGCGCGGGAGACGTCGTCAGTGGCTGAGTCGGTACGGTACAGACACCTCGGACTGCTGAAGGAGCGGCCCTCGCGCAGCCGAACGAGAGAAATCGAGGCCCGAGACGCACCTGCTCGACCTTGTCGCTCGTGAACGGCGTGTAGCTCGTCGACAGGAAGTGGCACCTCGGCGTCGGGATGAGCGACGCGATCATCGAGACGAGGTCGTTGTTCATGTAGCCCGGGTACCGCAGCGTCTGGGTCGACGCGGCCATGACGGTCGAGACCTGCGAGGCGGGCGAGGGCGCACGCGCACGACGAGGTCAGGGTCCTGTCGCGACTCGAAGAGGGGGACCGGGGGAAAAGAGACTGAGGCGACGCACGAGCTGGTTGGTCTGCGAGTAGCTCGGCTCGCCGATGTGGAGGCGGTCCTGGCAGATGTTGGCGAGCGCCTTGTTGTCGAGGACGACGACCGAGTCGGCGTACTCGGCGAGGCGCTGCAGGGTCAAGATCGAGTTGTACGGCTGGACGACAATGTCCCCTGTGGCGTGCGGGAAGACCGAGTAGGTCTGGATGAGCTTCTTGGGGAAGACGTCCGACAGGCGCTCGAGGATGTACGAGCCGAGGCCGGCGCCCGTGCCACCGGCGATCGAGTGCAGGAGCATGATACCCTGTGTGCCACAAGAGGGTGAGCTGCGTCGCAGAGCGGGATCCAGAGAGGCGAGAGGGAGCGCACCTCGAGACTGTCGCTCCCCTCTGCTTCTCGCTCGAGCATCTCGGCAATGTCGTTCCAGACGGCGTCTCCTGCGGCATGACCCTTGGCGAACTGCGTTTGACGTCGTGGCGGATTAGCGCGCTCGAGGGGGAGAGAGGAGAGAGCGCGAGGGACGCACGTTGTTGCCCGCTCCACCGCCGTCCTGCGACTCGAAGAAGTTCTCGGGGTTGTACAGGTTGGCGTACGGGCTGTTGCGGATGCCGTTCAAGACCTGTGTGAGTGTGTCCCGGGTCAGTCCGCGCACGTGGTCCTGGAGAAGGGGAGGGGAGGAGGGACGCACGCGAGGTTCGAGGTCGACCATGACGGCGCGAGGGATGTAGCGGTCGTCGTCGGCCTGGTAGAAGAAGACGTCCTTGCGGTCGTGGTAGGGTTGGTGCGGTGTGGCAGGCGCTGGCGAGATGCTGGCGCTGTCGCCGAGAGCGGACGAGGCCGACGAGGCGAACGGGTGCTCTTCGAGGAGGCCATCGGGGCTGATGCCGTGTTCTGCGCAGAGCTGGGCCCAGAACTCGCTGCTGACTGTTTTCGTGGGCAGGCCAAGGCGATGGTGAGCGAGGAACACGGCGAGGGAGATGAGGGAGGCGACTCGCTCTGGTTGCCGGCCTGCCCCGCCGAGACGGTGACTGCGTGGGTGGGTGTGGTCAGGATCTGGGATGCAGGTGACACGCTGCAAGGGCACTTACGGAGCTCCCTGGGCATGTCGAGCGAGTGTTGGCGCCGCGCGAGAGCCAGGAGCGCGCCGACGACGCGACTTGCCAGGCAACCTCTCGCCCGCCAGCTGCAGCGGTCAGGGTCCAAGTGCAGCCACGTACGACGTACTCTTACAGCTACTTCCAGCTCGGCAGTTTGTCCTGAGAGCGAGCGCCGTGTGCTCTCCCCACCTTGGCTCGACACTTCGCTCTCTCCTCTCGCCGCGCCCGCCTCGAGCCTTGTCCGCCGGCTCTACCAAGCACTGCAAGTCCTGCAGCTGCTGCGCCGGCCGCACCAGCCGACCGCCCTCTCCGCGCCTGAGCCGCAAGTGCGCCCGACTCTTGGCTCCGTCTCCTCCGCTCCTCGCCCTCACTGACGTCTCCCAGCCCTCGATCGCAGCCCGACCGCGACACGCCCTCGACCGCCAGCACAGCCACGATGAGCGCCCCCCAGGGCATCGAGCTCGCAACCCTCGCGCCGGCCACCTTGCGCTCCTCGTCCGCCGCCGCCGCTGCCGCCGACCACGACAAGCTGTCGCCGTTCGCCGACCCGTCACGACCAGCGTCGACGACTGGCGCCAGCAGCGTCGCCGAAGTCGAGCTCGAGAGCCGGGGCAGCATCGCGTCCGAGGACATCGGCCACCGCCTGCAGCGCCTCAAGACGCACGACGGCGAGGACGAGGCGCAAGGACTGCCGCCTGTCGACGGCGGCAAGGGCGCGTGGGGCTTCATCGTCGCCAGCTTCGTTCTCGAGTGCGTCCCCTTGTCCTCTTTCTGTTCCGGCCAGGAGTCGACCCGAGGGATGCGCAAGCTGACCTTGCCCTCCTCGTCCGCCTCGCGCAGAACCTTCTGTGCGTCCTTCTTCTCTCCTTTCCCTCTCTCCTTCAGCGACGTTTACTGACGGGCCCCGCGGCCTGCAGTATGGGGCTTCTCGTATTCCTACGCGACCTTGCTCGTCTACTTTTCCTCGCACGACCCGTGGCAGAAGGCCTCCCTGTCGGCCCTCACGTCGATCGGCACCGTCTTGCTCGCCGTGCAGTACATCATGCCGTACGTCCTGCGCCTCCTCTCCTTCTCTCGATTCCGAACGAGCGCAAGACCCTGACGGACCTCGAACGCGCAGTCTGTTCATTCTCAACCTGTACCGCCGTTACCCCGAGCTCATCAAGCCCATCCTGTGGACGAGCGCCCTCATCAACTGTCTTGGCATGCTCGCGGCGAGCTGGGCGACCGAGGTGCGCCCCGCGGTCCCGTCGAGAGCTCGACTCGCTCCGTCGAGCACCCGCTCACTCTCGCTTTCCCGCGCTCGCAGGTCTGGCACCTCATCATCCTCATCGGTATCGTCGGCGGCTTCTCTGGAGCGTTCCTCTACGCCCCGGTCCTCATGTGGCTCAACTCGTGCGTCCCCTTCGTCGTCTCGTCTTTCATCGACGAGGAACGAGCGCTCATTTCGTCTCGCGCGTAGGTGGTGGGTCGAGCGACGCGGTCTGGCGAGCGGCATCGTCTTTAGCGGCATGGGTGTCGGCGGGTGCACGACGCCTTTCATCCTGAGCGGGCTCCTCGAGGCGTACGGCTTCCCGACCATGTGCCGCGCCTGGGCCGCCATCACGGCCGGCGTCTTTGCCTTGTCGCTCTTCTTTCTTCAGCCGAGGGTCCCGCTCGTCAAGCCCAAGGGCGAGAGGGCACCCTGGGTCAGCTTGCGCGACTTCAAGTTTGCGACCGACCCGGTTGTCCTCGTCATGGTGCGTCACGCCTCTCCCTTGCCCTCTCCTTACTCGCGTGACCTGACGCCCGTCCTCAATCTCTTCCACAACGCAGACGGTCACGTCCTTCTTGAACAGCATGGGCTTCATACCCGTCTCGCTCCTCCTGCCGACCTACGCCGCCGCCCTTTCGTCGCCCGGCACGGCCAACATCCTGATCGCCATGTACAACCTCGCCGGCTCGATCGGGTCGTCCGTAACGGGCTACGCGTCCGACTACTCGCTGCCCCTGACGCTCACCGTCATGGGCACGACGGCCGGCATCCTCGCCCTCACGGCATGGGGCTTTGGGTCGTCGTTGAGCAGCGTCTTTGCGTTCGCGCTCCTCTTTGGCGCCTTCTCCCAGGTCCCCTCGTGCGTCCACGGTTCCTCTCGCCTCGTATTTCCTGTCGCCTCTCTCCCTCGTCGCTCCCGGCCCGCCGCCTCGACACCTTCCTCCCGTTCGCGTCCGGCCCATCGTTGCCACGTCGCCGCCCTGCCTCGCCTGTGCCAGTTATTGACAAGCTCTTCCTCCCGTACACGCGCAGGACCTGGGGCGTCGCCGCTCGCGACGCGGTCGGCGCCAACCCGCACGCGTCGAGCATGATCTTCTGCTTCTTGGGCTGTTGGCGCGGCATCGCGTCGATCGTCGGCCCTTTCATCTCGACGAGCCTGTACAACGACAAGCTTGCGCACGACGAGCGGTGCGTCCGCCTCTCCCATTCTCTTGTGTGCCCTGCATGAGTCGTTCTCGAACCTCGACCTGACGGACCTTGCGCGACCTCTCACAGGGCGGCGTACGGCCGGTTTGGATTTAGGGACGTGATCGTTTTCGTCGGAGTCATGTCGAGCATGACGGCGCTCGGCGGGCCGGGCATCTACTGGGCGAGGCGGTACAAGGCGGCCAAGAAGGCGGCCGCGTCGTGAGCCGAGGACCAAGCGAGGCGAGGGTCGCGACAGAGGCCGACTCGCGGTCGCGCGCTCTTCTTGTAATACAGTCGTGCACTTGTACACGTCCAGGAGAGACGCAGAAAGCCGAGTGCGACGACCCGTGTCTCGAGCTCCAAGCTTCGACTCCGCCGACCACGCCGCGCGTCGTCCTCCCTGCTCAGAACCAAGCTCCACCGCGCGCCAACTCGCTCACGAGGGTCTCGACAAGCCCTTGCCCAGTCGCCCTAGCACCACTCGCCGCCATCCCGCCCTACTCGATCCCCCGCTTGACTCCCTCGCGCGTCCCTCCCGACATCGACCCCTCGCCCTCTTCATCGCGGTCCGTCCCTCGTCCCACGGGCCCACGAGGGCCAGGAGCTGACTCGAACTCGCCTCTGCAGCCGGTCCCACCAGTTCATGTCCTTGTGCCGACCCTCCTCGCCTCGACAGTCGAATCAGCTTCAGCATCCCCTCCTCCTCGCCCGCCTTCGCCAAAACCTTTCCTAAGCCCGCCTCTGCAACCATGGCTGCCGTCGTCAACGTCCGTCGCGATGTCAAGGCAACCTGAAGAGGT